AACCTGCACGTCGAAGAAGGTTTACAACTCTCGAAAAACTTGTGATGTTCCCAACCCGCATTGGATCAGCGCGCGCGGCGGAATATGGCCTAAATACTCGCCTGACAGGAGACCTGTGCTCAGCGGTGGGACGTATGGATTAATGGTGGTGGTAGTGAAGGTGGATTCAAAATTACAATGAAATGTATAAGTGAATAAGGGCCGAGAACGTTATACTATAAAATCAAGACTTCTTACTACAACACTGTTTGTATCGCTCGTATTTGTGGTTAGAGTTTCCCTAAACCATTTCTTTTATTATTTATACTAATTTATTCACTTTTGCCCACGCTAGGGTAATTAGTCTTGAAGCTGAAATACTTTGAAATTTTACTGTTTAATAGTCAGTTTCTATTGAAAAAAGTGAGCAAGATATCCAGAAAGTTACTTTTTAAATACCTGAGAAGTCTATAAATCGACAGCAAACACACAGGCGTCTTTATCTTTAATCAAACGGCCTTCATAATTTACTTCGTGTAAAATTTATATCCGTACATAATTCCAGTCCATAATTTGATTGAATTCCTTATGATTCCGTTTTTCCGTATGTGTAGTGTATCATAATAATGGCTATTATACTTGCATCAACAATGATCGAAACTATTTACGCAAGTAAAAATTTTATTTATACCGTGACGTAGTTGTGCATTCACATTTGTCGATGTATGTGTACCTATATAGATATGGAGACCTACAAGCATTCTTCTGATTGTATCAGTTTTACTAAAAAGGTGTTAGAGAAGATTACCTATACTCTAGACGCGCGAGATACATAAATTTCCTTCATGTTCAAAACTATTTTTTTCATGACAAGTAACGGAACGAATAAGTCTAGCACTTATTGCTATAAATCGCAAAGATTTGAAGCATACTGCTCCCATCACCCTGAGACAGACAGAGTCCCATGTGCATGTAATTTCATCGGCACCATTAACCCTTCAAAACCGGAACCCAGTAATGTAAATATCACTTGGCGGTAGAAATAGGTAAGGTGGCAGAACTTCCCAGGACTAACTCTTTCACGACCTCTACTGCTAATACTACTGAATACTTGATAAAAATAAGACATTTCACGGATTTAAAACGCGTTTTGACGCAAAAAAGCATTTTAAATATGTTTAATTATTTAGATGTGTGTAATAAATTTTAATCTATACATAATTTTAATAATCTTTCACGGGATGTGAGTAATTCGTTTCCAACGATTCTGAAAAAATATAGTTTTTGAGTTAATACACTATTTTATTAACAGTGCGATATTATTTTTTAATTTAATATTATAGGTGTTATTCGCGTACTCAGGCATTAAAATTTATGTGGTTTAAAAGCTAAAGACAATCTACCGCCGACTGTATGATTTTATATAAGTAATTATAGAACAATATAACAATTAATCATTAATTTCCCGTAGTTTAGAAATATGTAAACAATTACCGCCTTCCAGGTCGAACCTTGCAAGCCCCTAATGATTCGGCTAAAGAATCTAAACTCTCTAAAATATAATATTTAAAAAGCTAGTTACAGTTAATAGATTAACGAAACTTTAGAACAGAAAGGGCATAAATGACAAACTACGAAGTTTACTGGACGAATGGAATACAAAATTTAAAAAACTTTCCATTTATTTTACCTTTCTAACAATTTTCATATAAAATAGCTTACATTGAAGAATTTACTTTAATGAAATGTCATAGAAATGTAACCCAAAGCAATAATTTGAAAGATGGCAACAATTTAAGCCCAAAAAAATGTTTAGCATGTCTAACGTTAACGTTAACGTTAACGTTAACGTAACGCTTTTGTTGAGTAGCTTGCCTAACGTCATTTTTTAAAAGATACCATTTGGAGAGTGTATGCTAGTACTCATTATTTTATCCCGCCCGCCTCTTTCCGCGACTGCTTAACCAAAAGTGGCTTTCGTCTTTTTATGGTAGATATTTCTCCAACATGCAAGAAGCCTTTTTCTTATACAGGGAATACACGAATAGCTAAGAAATGGAATTCCTTGCCGAGTTCTGTTCTTTTCATATCATACAAATTATCAGACATTTTCTAGGTGAATATGCGATTCTCGTGCACATCTTTAGACCTCTGAACAAAACAAATTTTCCCTAGTCAAAAAGTTGCTATATTTTAATTAATGATTATTATCAGTTTCAGTATTATATAGTATTATACTTGGGAAATATTTTTTTTATGATACCAACCAGGACGAACAAGTCGTGCACTTGATGGCAAGCGACACGCCTGTCTATAGCAGTTGCTACACAGAGGTTTAAATCGAAAAATCTGAGGGACCCTGCCAATGCGACCGTCACCCTCAGACATAAGTTGAAAAATCCACTGTTCCTGTAATTTCACCAGCACCCTTACCTTTCATAACCGGAAGGCAGTAATGCTCACATTACTGCATGGCGGCAGAAATAGGGAAGGTGGCAATAATACCCTGGACGAACTCTGACAGAAAGAGCTCTACTGCTACCAAAAGGAGACAAGGAAGGAGAAATCCTGCGTTTCAGAGAAGATTTGTATGATCTCTTGACGACGTGTTACGTCCTCTACCTACAATGAACGCTTTTCCACCATCCCCCGTGAAAATCGACAACTATATTCTGACACTGATTGCATAATACTACTTTTTCGCCAATCTTTTCAGGTGTGAAAATATTCTTTTGTCACTAAACAAAGCTAATACATATGTATAAGCGACAAAATCACATTGACATTAGATAGTCGCCACGTACATCTATGTTAATTTTACGTGTAGATATTTAACAAGGTGCATAATCGCGCAAGCGTTACTGTTTAGCGTTTTAAAACATTGTAAATTACAATTGCGACTATCAGCGCACAAATGGTGTAACCACATGAAATGCCTGTAGAAGATATTTATTACGAGGGATTTAATTTTAGTCAAATCCATTTTATATATTATTATATAATGTATTATGTGGGATTAGTTGTACTTTTTGTATTTAATTGGAGGTGTTTGTGTTAGTACGTTTGCTTAAAATCTGTCAAAGCCACGACTTTCAATTACTGATTGCAATGGTGATACATCACTAAAAAGATATTCATTTTTTATTAGGAGAACGTGACGAGTTAGAACCATGCCAAAAAATTACATACTCTTTACTCGTGTGCTTAATACTGGCAAGTTACATATAAACTGTCGTAAAAGTAGATTATTTGCTAATAAATTTGAAAATGGAACACCTCTTAAATCGATTTATATTTTATTATTTTTCGACGATGCTCTGGAGGGAATTATTTTTTTTTTTTTACATTCTCTAAGGAATTTATTCGCAACAATGAAGCTTACTTGACGTGATTTCCGTGTTATAATTCCTTATGAATACAAAAAGGTTTAAAGCCGCAAGAATGTTTTGAACTTTTAACCACAACTTTTGGTGCCTCTGTCTGTTCACGAGGTACAGTTTTCAATTGGTTCGTTGAATTTAAAAGAGTACGGGTAAGCTTTATAGAGGAGGCGAAATCAGATCCTCCCAACTGCGGTTACTCGAGAAAACTTCCAAGCTGTCGAAAAAAATATTCGGGAAAACTGGCAAATTACGTATATTTATATGCCTTTTATTATTATGACTTTGAACGAGAACTGAGCATTGGATCAGCAGCATTACATATTATTATTTACGGACAACTGTCTGTCCATAAACGTTGTTCGAGATGGGTTCCGCACAAAATTAACGATGGCAGAAACAACGTCTAGACAAATTCGACGTACGTATAGGTGACTTCGACACTGGCGAGAAAAAAAAATTATATAACGACAGGTGACAAAACATGGTTATATAACTATGATCCTAAAACAAAGCGGTATGGTGCTTTGAAGACGAGCCGACTCTAACGAAATGTTGCCGCGCACCAAGCACTTAGAAACTAATGATCAACAAATTTTTAAACTGACTTAAAAAAGGAGGAGGTTCTCAATTTGACAGTATGTTTTTTTTGTATGTACGCGATAATTCCGGCATTTGTGAACCGATTTTGATGATTCTTTTTTTGTTAGGGAAAGGGTACCTCAGTAGTGGTCTCATTTACATTTGAAGAAAATATTCCACCTCTAAGGGTGGCAAACTTGGGGATGAATGGCTTTTGAAGTCGGTTTTCTTAGTACTGTGTACGGAGCTTATTCTGCAAGATTCGAGTTTGAAAAGGGCACATTGCTATTCTAGAGGACAAAGGGATAGTTAACTCCGAATAGCATGTAATAGTTTGTGCATGTGTTGTCATTTTGGTGTGACATGCGACCCAACTTTCCTCTCGAAGCGGCTCCTACAGCATCACGAAAACGCCGCTCCGCACACTTCTGTCAGAACACTCGACTATTTTCGTTAAAAAAATGTATCTATCCTGCTTCACCCACTATATTCCCCTGACCTATTACATTGTCATTTTTACCTCTTTAAAACAAAAGCCAGCGGTTTGAAAGAAGATGCCTTGACTGCTTATAACATTGAGATTTCTGAGACTCTAAGGAAGAGTGGTTATCGGTATTTTCCAAGTGATTTAGTCGAATGGAAAAGTGTATAAGTGTCTGTGGTGCATAATTTGAAAACATCGACACCTTTAATAAAGAATACATTTTACAATTTATGAAAATCTAATTTCTTTTGGCATGACCGTATATAATCAGTGTTTTATTTAGGGCCCCAAAAATCATGGATTTCGTTTTCTATTTCTTCTCCGAAGTATTGAAATATTATAGTTTTGTTTGCTAATTGACAAATTTCTTATTTGCCCATTGTCGCTTTTTCGGCAACCATCACAAAATGAGATTGAAATATTTGTGTTACCAGTATTTAGAGATAAAGAAACTACTTATAATATAACTACAAGAATATAAAGTACTAAAGTATTGAAACACTTAATATACTATCAAATCGACGCTATAAGTATTGCTGATGTTTACATTCGCATTCAGTATAATTGTTGCGCCAGCGTCTGATGATCTTCACGTTCGGATGACGATTGCGCTGCGAAAAGTTTATTATTCCATTTTTGAATTTTATTTTTCGTCTTAAAATTTAATTCTTCTGATTAATGTTTTTTAAAGTTTCCCAATATTTTCGTGTAAAAACTACGTTAAGGACTTTTTCTTCATACAATGGATTCTTTTGAAAGGTGATTATTTAGGTATTAAAATAAACTTGTGGTTTTTCCACAAGTGTGTAAGTGTGTGCTTATGATTGTTTTTGGTATTTCTTTAATATTTTGCGTACGTGTCTTGTCGGTAAGTCGAAACTTCTTTTCTTTCGGGTAAAGTATTAAAAAAATGCAATCACTCAAATCATGCAGTCGAAAAAGAACAGTGACTCTTTATTATAATACTCTAAAGTTTCATAGATTTGAATTCTTATAAGCTCAAACTGGCGATAATTATAATAATTATAATTTACTATGACAGTGAAGGAAAACTTTACAGGGCAATCTGCGATTTGAAACATGTTTGCAAATATTTTTATATTTCATGTATTCGTATACTAAAGGTCTTCTTAGGTACTATGTAAATGAAAGTCTAATCTTGTCATTAGGAATAGTGTGGAATTTATTAATTTTCTATGTAAGTGTACGATGAAACTTAAAACACTTATTATGTTGGTTATAACTGCCATGGATCTTTTTAAATTCAATACAAACATCTGGAATGTGTCGTTTTAGTGACTTGATTTTACCGGAACATGGCATGATTTCGAATCCAAATCATCAGCATTAGAAGAGCCATGTGTGTTTGTTTCATACAATAATTGAAGTTTGATCCTGTTTTGTACATTGACTAATCAAACTCAATGACATTCAGTAGACATGACCTAGAAACTAATATCGAGGTACTTGGTTTATTATTTTCAAGTCAAATTAATTTCAAAACTAAATTGACTCAAAAATAGGTAAATATTGACTTGACGGCGTCGATGGTCAAGTCCCAGGTTTGATTTCCTGCCGGGTCAGTGTAAATACAAACTTTTCTAATTGTCTCGGATCTGGGTGTTTCTGGTACCGTCGTAGTTTCCGATTTCCATAACACAAGTGCTTTAGTTACTTAGATTGCGATCAGAGCAATGTATGTGATGTTATCTACTGTTTCTTTATTTATTTATTCTTACTAAATGCCAATGTCTTAAGGCGAGTCACAGGAGGAGAAGGAGGAAAAATTGTTTTGCTAGATGAAATTGTTCCGGTATTTTCTGTTAAATTACTGTCTTACAAAAAATAGACGATATTGTCTAAGGTATGGCCTAATTTGTTACACGATATGTACGGATGTACTTCGACCGACATATTATAAAATCCTGAAAACAGGTTAAAATAAGCGTCTAAAATGTATTATTTAAGAACAAAAACTGTGCATATTATTTTTATATGGAGACATTTCTCGTAGGAAATGAAACTATTCTTTTTTATCTAAATCAATAAAGTTGCAATAAATGCAATAAAATTTAAATAAATAAATTAAGATGTTTTTTTAATTTCAATGACCTCTCGCAGCATTCTAGGTACAGGATTTCTTTTGCAAGGACCTGGGGTTTTGTCGAACTTAATTGAGTGTGCAGGTTTAGCCATGACATGCTCGCAGACTGCAGACTTACGCGGCGGTGTTTGACATCAACTAATAATGTTCTTTAATGCGAGTACAAATACGAAGTATTGTAGTACGTCGTCTGTTCAATATAAAAGAGACCGCACTCGCAGTGAAGCTTGTAAACTCCTGCATCCTGTAAGGGGATGTTACATTTGACGGGTCTCAGGAACTGACAAATCTTCCTCAGGGACTTAAAAAGGTCTTGACAGACACACGCCTGAAGACCTTCCAATCTTGCCTGTAACACATCTCACATAAGGTGAAATGGCAGGTCTTTGCTCGACTGTTGATGCCTTCAGACGGCGTCTGTGGCATAGGAGTGGAATCTTCAGCTTGTTTGCACTTGCTTTATATGTTGAAGTTTCGGCCACATGATTACTGTCGCAGACGCCATGTACTCTCTGAAACTGGCTAGGATGGTGATGGGAATAACCATTGAGGTACCTATCTGTATGGGTTTTCTTTCGACATACAGTATGCCTAAAGTGTTATTGGGATTTAATTTGACTAAAATATCTAAGAAATCTAAAGTACCTACTAGAATTCTTTTGTTCCATGGTAAACCGGAGCTTATTACCTAAGGAGATTAAGATGGTGCAAGAATATCTTTTAGTAATATTGTGAAAGTATCATCAACGTACTTTTTGAACATCTTCGTCACAGCTTCAGCAGCTTCGACAGTTTTAAGTTTTAAGTTTTAAGTACTACTGAGAACCTGCCAAAAGTTGATTTTCAACAGAAGCCCAGCGGTTCAACAATACGCCGCGACACCCGCTGATCCGTCAGTCGCCATCGGGCGCTCGTCGACGATGGATATATGTCAAATTTTCTCTGCCTGTTCTTATTTTATTCATATTATTGTCAGCGTGCGGGTTGCGGGACGTGAGGGGCGGTCCCCCCGTACATCGTCCCCTGAAATATATGAATCTCGTTGAAATACCTCGCCTTAAGAAAATAGAGAATTAAAAATAGATTTTGTGTAGATTTTGTAAAACCATCACAACTTTACATCCACACATCAACGATAACACTGTAGGGCTACAAGACAGGGAACGACTTGCGCAAAAGCAACACAAAGTGCGAGATACTGCTATTCTCTCATATAGGTCTCGCGCTACTGGAATCAAAATCAAATTACGAAATATAACTACGGCGCGCGGCTGAGACGGTCTTTAAACTGCTGTTGTAAATTTGCCACAAATGTATCGTCAATAGTAGGTACTGTTCAATTAGTCATACCCTACCATATGACGTACTGTCCGACCAATTTACGTTGTTATTTATCCAGTTGTTTCAAAATAATTACTTATTAATAACAAAAATTATATACATTTATCATTACTAGTCAAGGTTAGGTTTGTGTTTGTTTAAATGTAGTACTTGTTGTCTCTTGTTGTATTTTGAAAAAATGAGAATTGACATTAACCACGTTCCTTTCCCTCATTTATTTTACGGTGTATGCTTTATAATTATGAAACCAATCTAAATAGTCAATTATAAAATTTAAGTCTTACAATAAACAACATAGAATCTAGATATAAAAGGAACATCGCACAACACAAAATTCAATCACTTTTAACCGACTCGAAAAAAGGAAATTCTAAATTCGTGTTTTGTTTGTGTGTTTTGGTGTTTTTTTTCTTTTTTCGTATGTATGTCACGCGATTACTTCGACATTTTTTATAAACAAGTGAAAAACAAGTACACGGAATTCGACAACCTAAGAACTCGATTTGTTATGCAGTATTACCTAATTTTCATGCATTTTTCAGAATCTTCCCTACCTTTTGTCCGTTCAATCCGGCCTTGCACAATCCACGACGTGACGAGAGTCCGCCTGCAATTCCGCAATATATTTCACGATTCTCCAAACCCAAAGTACTGGCTCGCCAATATGCACCTATCGCACCTGTGGCATTCACACGCCGATCTTTAACACCACTTACTCCTTCAACAATTGATTATAATGTAATGTACCTGTAGGGCCAGCACGATAGGGCGCAACCTGCGCGAGAGCGACATAAAGGGTGAGACGTCTATGCGAGACTCGCAGTATCTCGCGCTTTATGTCGCTCTCACGCAAGTCGCGCGCTGTTGTGCTAGCCCTACTGAATAGGTAATGGTTCCATTCAAATTTAGGTGGCAAATTAGCTAATCAACCACTTTCCGTTAATCGATTTCAATTTCATAAATTTTTGAAGTCCATTTTTTTATAAAAAAGTTCGCATTCCAGAACCCGCACGCTGACAAATAAGTCTCAATTTTTGTTAAGAACAGGCAAGAAAGCTATATCGTTTTTAACTCGATAACATTGTCAAATTGCTTCTCGTAGAAGTATAATAAACATATTCTTCATTCTTCGAGGTTCTTGCCGGACACGTAATCTAAATTTCATGGTGCTCGTTTTTTTTATGATAACAACTAATAATAAATTTTGATAAGTAACAACTTACAATGAATTAATCCTTACAATTTACCCTTTCAATTGGCATCATAAAAATACAGATATACTTTTGTGATATACTTTTGGTAGGTTCCATTCCCAAATGAGGCAGGATTTTTTTTTAATCTTTGAATGCAATTACTTAGTTTAATAATGTCACCATGAAGCAAAATATTCTATCTACAACATTTAAAGCATTTTCCTTCCGTGTACCATAACCATGTGACTCCTTGTATATACTACGAGTATATACAGCGCCATAGCATGTAACGCCTGAGCAAAAACGAATAGCAAAACTTTGTATATGATTGCGAACCCGTAAATGACTAACAGCGTTTGCTGTAAAATTAAATTTTAAAATATGACAGTATAGGGTACTCCGTTTCGCTATATGGATCTCAAAAACCAACTACGGGCTTTACAGCTGCTTTTCCATAGACAAGTATCATCAACAACGACGTACTGACAAAATTCAATTATTTATATACTTACTACTTGCCGTAGCGCTTATATTGAATCAATACAAGTACTGAATAAAACTTTCTGAGCGCGAAAGAGTACCATCTACGTTTGTCCCGCCTATTGAGAGTCTTCCTCCTGGACACGAATTGCCATGGCCGATGTGGACGTTTTTGAATAGGCTTCGAACTCAGGTTGGTCGGAGCAAGGACAATTTGTTCATGTGGGGGTTTTCGGATGGTTCCAGTCTGGACTGCTTGTGCGGTACGACTCAAACAATGGCTCATCTCATATCGTGAATTAATACCTGTACGCTTGATGATTTAATGGCGGCTGCTAGTGACGCGGTCGGCGTGGCTAAGTTCTGGGCCACTATAGTAATTATACTATAGTAGTATGTTATCGATACGATTAGAAGAAGAACTAACTTCTACTTATTTGTTATGATAGGGGTTTGTTAAGATTATTTCAATGAGTTGTTATTATTTGTTATCCATTGATTCGCGTAACAAATAAAAATTTCACACATTCCAGGACTATAATGTCGTAAATATTTTTTTCCTAGTGGCCTCTGTCATTGATTATATTGTGAGATTATGCATTAGCTATTTACCCGTTGATATAGCATTACATACCTCATCC